AAATATATAATAATAATAATTTATTTTAATAAATCTAAAAAGTATTTTCTGGATTTTTAACAGTAATATATACAGTCGACCCCCCCTATAACACTGTTGATAATTCCGTTTTATATAAATTCCATGTTGTACGATTCACTTAGATTTTACAAATTTTTGTGCCGGACTGTGAACGGCACACATATTTGTAAAATCTAAGTGACTCGTACAACATGGAATTTATATAAAACGGAATTATCAACAGTGTTATAGGGGGTCAACTGTATATGATATTTTTATATATAATATGATAATAATAATAATAATGTACATATATGGAAAAACTTACTTGATGTTTACTTTATGTTATAAACTGTAAAAAATTTTTTCAACAAAAGAATAAATAAAAAAAGTTCTTACATTTTTTATGTCATCTTTTTAATGGATTTGGAATTTTCAAGTACAATACTTGTGCTTTAAGAAAATATTTATTTTGACTAACTTTCTATGGAAGAATTTAAAAAAAAACAGTAATAAAAAATTTTCATATAAGCAAACAAAATTACAATTTAATATAACAAATTAATAATAATAAACTTTTTTAAAGTAATTTTAATTATTAATAATCTTTAAATTAATTTTTTAAATTGAAAATAATTAAGAGTTTATAATTTCCTTTATTTATTTTTAATTATTTCTTTAATAAATTGAATTTAATTAATTATAATCTTTTATTGATTTATAGCTTACAATTTGTTAAAGCAAGGAATAAATTAATGTGTTTGTAATAAAGGGTGGCTCAAAAAACAATTAACCGATACGCGTTTTTAGGAATGTACCTTGGTTAACTGACTTTTGTACGTGTTTCGTAGCCTGCCGAGTGTGGCCTTGATCAGTTTATAAGGTCTATAAATAATAAAAAAAAGAGTAAGAAAGTATCAATAATAATTAGTTAATTGCTGTAACAGATTTAATATATCAATTTATAAACAATTTGATATGATTATTAAAAATATGTAAATATCGATAAGGCTCAAGGCTATTAAAAGCTTATAAATATTAAAATAATGCCTCTAAATGAGGATAAAAAGGCAAATTCGAAAGACAAAAATCATTTGTCTCGATGCCACGCGACGTGACGCGAGCCATTTATAAGTAGGATGCGACGCGACGCGTAGGATGACATATAAATGACAATAATTTCTATCTATAATATTATATATTTTTTAAAAAACCATTAATTATTCTCATAAAATTATTCCAGAATTTCTGATAATAAAATTATATTAATTTAACAAACCATTTTTAAAAAATTACAGTATAATTAATTCAGGTAAATAAAGTCTAAATATTAAAATTTTTCTAATTTAAATTAATAAGAAGAAGAAGTAGTAGGAAATTCTTCACTTTAAAATATAAAAATTTAATTAAATAAATCGATAAAATTCGAAAAATTTCCAGAATAAATTGAAGATTAAATTGTTTACAAAGATAACAATTCAGTTGACAGTTCCTTTGTTTATAACAAATATATACTTTTATAGTTATATATATTTTTAAAAAAATTTATAATAAACCTCATTAAAACTAAATACCGAATATTTAAATGATGTATATTTTTCTGTTTTATAAAAAATAAAGAAAAATTTAATAATTTTAATGAATAGAACAGAATCATTTTTCATTCTACTTCAATATAAACATGTTCCATCTATTGAATAGCATTATGAAGGTCGTTAGATGCCATTTGATTTTCGTTTCTTCCTTTCATCTATAATCAAATTCTTTTGTCAGCCTTTGAAAGCTTAAATTTCAAAGGATTTAAGCTTCCAAATATTATTTAGTTCTGGTTTCTTTTTCCCCAATAAATGTTCACTTAAAATATAGGATATAGAAAGAAAATATAGAATACAATTTAATAGATTATATAATATAAAATTTACTCGTATGAGTGATTCGTAGCTTTTTAGGGCATTTAAACCAAATTCAACAAATCATCAGGCTTTGGCCAAGTGGATAGAAACCGCTGAAAACTGATATTTTGTCGCGGGTTCGCACCTCACTATGCTGGGTGTTTTTCGGGTTTTCTTCACGTTCAGGCTCTCAATTTAGTCTTCAGATGATACGATGGATGATAATCATGCAGATGCACGACAATACGGAGTTAATATTGATTTGATAAACCCGCAAAAACATTAACGAGCACGTTATTGTACGAAATCAATGATTTCTCCGCATATAATATTTAAATTATTTTACAGACATTATTGTATTTCCGTCCGGGGTCTTCAGCGTGTTACGAGCTGAAGATTTTGCCATTCGGAATTCCTTTGAACGAATGGCAAAATCTTAACATGCCGGATTATTATAGGTCGTCGGATTAAGAACGTTTACTATACCTAATTGACTCGTACAACATGGAATTCATATAAAACGGAATTATCAACAGTGTTATAGGAGGTCGACTGTATTTAAAATGAGGTATAATAAACGGAAAATGTTATCGAATTTTTGTTGTATATGAACTTTAAACAGTATTCTAAATCTAAGATTCAATGCAAACTCCATATATATATACAGTATATACGAAAGGTTGTATATATATATATATTGTCCAGAATATTTTTCAAATAAAATATTTTTTACCAAAGATACGTGGCAATTTTAATAGGATTCTAACTTTAAGTTTAATTGCGTTTTAAGGGGGAAAGGGGGATTTAATTGCTATTAAATGAATGAATAAATAAACTTAATGCCTTTATAAACAGCCTAAAAAGTTCCTATATAAATTTAATTTTAATTAAATCGTTCATTTATTAATTAAAATGCATAAAGTATGTTTTATGATTGTAAAAATTTAATTAAAAATTCTCTTGTAATTTCCGAATTGAATTTCTTAGTAATTAAAAATTCAAATTAAACCCGAATTAATTATTATTATTTAAATTTAAAGTTCAATTTATAATTTTCGTAGATTTGTGTAGAAAGTCTTTACCAATGTGTCTTTTCCACATGTAAATGCGAATGTGTCATTGACACAATACAGTTGACATGGAATAACGTTGCCAGAAATGAGAATAAAATCTATTTATAATGTCTTTGAATATTTTTTAAGTCTGAAAAAAATAAAATTTAAAAAATAAAGAAGAAAAGAGATGTGATGGGAATAATCGCAACGAAGCGCATCACATCTTGGCTCATCACTTTTCTTCTCACGCTGTCTCATCTGCGACAAAAGACAGAAATATATTCGAATATTCTGATGGTTAAATTATATTAAGTTATATATTTAAGATATTTATCAAGTATTAAAAATAAAAATTCTTACTACAAATCCTAACTAACGACGTGAGTTGACGTAAACATGAGTAAATATGCGGCGTTTTTGAGTAATGAATGCGCTGAAATTCATACGACATCAAAGGAAAAAATAACTAAATTTAATATTCAAATCAATTTATTAACTTAATCTGATTATAACTTATAATGGACCCATCAAATTTGTGAAGTACAGAGAAACGTCATCTTAAAAAATAGAAAAATAGAATGGCATGTAAAAATATTCGCTGTTTTTAACATAAAAACAGTAAAAGAAATAAGCCAAGAAGTAAAATTTATATATTTAATTAAATATTTAAAAAATTTCTTAATTAACTTTTAAAAAAATCAATAAAAGAAGCTACCATTTTGATGGAATGAGTTGCTGAAGAAATTTACAGAAAGGATTTATATATAATTTCAATTGATTAAAAGAAAGAAGTAAAAGTTCCAAAGTTGGACTTCCCTACATCCTGAACACACCTGTATTGAATTCTTTTAATTGGAACCATCGAAGTATTTTTTTCTTTTTCCGTCTTTTTCGAATACCTCTTTAAATTGGACACATTTTTCTGGTGACGACCAGTGGCCTAATGGGTAAAACCACTAAACACCGGTAGTGGGTTCTATCCACACCAACGGTCGTGGAGTTTTCGGGATTTTCTTCACGTTTCTAACATCTAAATAGGGGCCAGTTTCCCATAGAAAATCCACTTGGAACATCGCCCAAATAATGCTTTCTCTTCTTGTTCCATCAATCTTTTATGTGGAACCACTAATGTCTAACTTAAAGAGGTTTTTATTGTGTATTGTAATGAAATCTTATACGAATGTATGAGACAATTTCTGTGTTAGTTTCGCTACTTACAGCCAATGATATATTGTGTTCGATGAGAATATAATAGCATAAACAAGGCTTGGAATGTGTAAAAAATTGTCAATGACAATTCTTTCAGCCAAATTTGATAGATTTTATAACTTTCTTGTGGACTTCAATTTATTGTCGCATCATCACACAGCCCGAGTGTTTGAAAAACTTTTAGAAATTTGACTGTATTTGAATGAGGCAGTTATTGTACGATTTACGATGGTCAACTAACTTTTGGGTCAACTCTTATAATAAAAATCTCTCAATAATCTCCAACAAATATTTAAGAATACATTCAGTTACTGGATAAATAATTATCATCTTCTTATTTCTATAATTTCTGTCTCTTTCAATTTCTGTCTCCTCCAAATTATCTTTCAATTTCTTGTCTCCTCCAAATTATCTTCAGTTTAAAAACATTTAATTATTAGAGATGGAGCATCAGAAATAAAAATAATTAATACCTACTTATTAATAAGTATTATGAATTATTCTAATTTCGAATAAATTTTACGCAATTAAATTTAAAATAATTAAATAGATACAAATTACATACATTTAATTATTATTTAGTAGTTTTAATACGATTTTCTAAATCGTGTTTTCGATTTACAAAATTACATTTACTAAGTTTATAATTAATATTTTTGATATTTAATTATATAAAGTAATAAATTTGGAAATTTATTTTAAATTTTTAATATATTAAAACGAGTTATTTCGGTTACAGAAATTAAAAAATGAACGTAGAAAAGGAGAAAGAATCTTTACTATCGACCGAACGAGAAAAACATTCTGTTGCAAAATCTCAAGTAAGAACTGTTTATTCTCTACGTGTAATCCAGTATTAAGAGTTGATATTAAAAACATAATAATCTAAATAGTCTATATTTATATTTTAAAATTATAATTTCTTTTTATTAGGACTGTACTTTTAATATAAGTATACAACATAAGCACCTTTATGTGTATAGGGGAGATCGGGGCAAGATCGGCATGTTAAGCTTTACTTAAATTTTGTGTAATAAATACTGCTGTAAACTGAAAAAAAAGCTTTGCATATTGTCTATTGGAATGTTACCTTACTATAGAACTGGTTAAAATCAGTTTGGAAATAAAAATAATTAAAATAATTACAACTTTACAAGAAGAGAGAAATTGACGAAGTTGCCCCGGGTATAGGGGCAAGATCGGCAACTTCTCTCTTTTTGTAAAGTTGTAATTATTTTAATTATTTTTATTAAAGTTGCCCCTGGTATAGGGGCAACAGTAATGGGGCAAGATAGGCACGTATATAAAATTATGTTATTAACAATGTATAAGTTGGAATTCACTATTAAAACAAAGAAATACAAATCCAACACCCATTTAATATTATTACAACGAAATGCAAGTTCAAAGACATATATACATGAATAACAAATGCAAACATGTTTTCATTTATCATCTGTTTGATTTTTATCCTTTGCTTCTAATGTGGCTTTATGTTGCCGATCTTACCCCGCTAGTCATGATTTCGAAACATTAAGTACAACCCTGAGAACAGAATGCCAAGCCACGATCTGGCCACGTGAATAAGTTGAAGTTACATCCTTCTAACAGGAAAAGTAACTTTCGTTATCATGGAATTATAACAAAACCTGCCAATTCAATATAAATGGAAAAAAAATATTATATGGAATTGAACGAAAATGAAAATTTGCTTGATAATTCAACTACGCTTGTTGGAGAACAATAAAAACACTACACTCAACAAGCCACCAATAAAACTCAACTGCCTAACCTATAACCAAAGTCTCCTTTTAATTTGTTTTTTAAAAAAAGCGCTTGACAAACTTGCCCCGCATGCCGAAGTTGCCCCGATCTCCCCTATATAAAGTAGGAACAGGACCTTTATGTGTAGTCTACTCCAACCTTTTATTAATTTACGTCTTTAAAAAGTCCCATAAATAAATAAAAAAAAGGGCGACTTTTTCACATATTTGCATGGTTAATCCCGTAAGGAGTTCGACTCATGCTTCATTGTTAAGAGTCATGTGAATGTGTGTTCACCTCTATATATACGTATAAAGTGTTTTCACATCTACTGTACACAAACTAGAAAACAAATCTAACACGATTCGAACTCTTTTATACGAATTTACTGTGCAAATAATGTGTGAAAACACCTCTATATATTGTTTACAGGACTTTTTAAAGATCTGTGCCTGCAAATTAAGGCACTCTCCTGTTAAAAACTGTTTCTGTTTATGATGTGTTTTTTTAGAAGATTTTGCTTTCATAAAAGGTTTGCGCTGATTTTTTTACAAAAAAAATCAGCGCAAACCTTTAGTTTTTTATATTAAATGCAGCAATAAGAGTTGATTTCTTTTTTTTTTGGATTGAATCTAATAATAAATTTCTGCTTAGTAATATTATATTAAGCTTTATATGACGTGATTTAATCGCTTGTAAGAATTGATGAATACATAAATTTGCTAGTTACAATAAAATTTATTTCTTGACAGTTTATACTAAAATGGAAGATATCGCGCATCAGCATATGTCAAAGTGAGAGGATAAAATAGATTATAAATCAATAAGTTCAGTCGTAAGATAATTTTCTTGTTTCTTTTTTTAATTCTCTTTACTTGTAATTTACTTTATTCCTATTGTAGTTATGTAGTTAACTCTTCATAAAGTTATTTATCATTGAAGCAAGAACAGAAGCTAATTACTTTTATGAAGCAATTATGCTTGTATAGAACCTGTGTAAACCGGAATTGCACGGTAGCGAATATATATATATATTTGACCTTTTCCTTTGCTATTCCTATTGTAGTTATGTAGTTAACTCTTCATAAAGTTATTTATCATTGAAGCAAGAACAGAAGCTAATTACTTTTATGAAGCAATTATGCTTGTATAGAACCTGTGTAAACCGGAATTGCACGGTAGCGAATATATATATATTTTTTCTCGTTTGATAAGTTTCCGTTTTGAACAGGTTACTTTTTAACATAACAAATCGCTCCGTTCCGAAGAAATTTTTCTCCTTAGACAGGTTTCCGTTATATTCAGGTTCCTTTTGGAGAGGTTTTACTGTAGTTAGCTTCTTTTATAAGTCAATATAAAACTAAGATGAATAAAAGTAATCTAAAAATAAAATATTAAAATTTTTCTTGTATTTTTACGTGAAAATTGCTAAAAAGTGTTCAAAATTTTGATAAAAATTGGTGCGAGAATGCATTTTGGTTCCTTAAAACTAAAATGAAAATTTATATCCTGAATTCAGATGGGTTGTTACGTACAGACAACCGAACGAAGTGCTAATTTAAGCTATTTTTTTTAAAAAATAGAGATTAGATAAATATATAAAACGTAGATGAAATTCGTGTTTAAAAATTAACACTTTTTTTCTGATTCTACGATATAAACAAACATAAAATAAATGTTCGAAAGTTAAGAATAAATTACGAAATAATAAACTAATAAAACGCTAATTGGAAGTTCATTGATCGAAGGAATTCTGCAATTTATTCCTAGAATAGACTAGAATATTGTATAACAGTCAATTCGGGAGATTTGATTGATCATCCTACGCGTTGGAGAGTCTTCACACAAAGATATCTGTCCACTAGAAGAGCTTAGATAGATGGGCATTCTCACTTAATTGGAGAGACCATTATTTCTGAAATTGGCAAAAATGGATCTTGAAGAATCCTATGAAAAAATTTTTTTATATAACATATTCCTATTATATGAAATATGAGGCTAAATGTGCTGACTCTTTCAAGAATTTTAACAAGCTAGAAACTATTTTCAATGGGTTCATTATCACCACTTTAGAAATTTAAAAAATGTCGGCAGTAAAAAAAAAATGGCTAAGAAACACTGATATAAAGAGTGAATTTGTATTCCTAATTTTCAAAAAAGTAAGCTTATTTTTATGGTATGATGAAGGTAAATTGATTATCCACTCCATAATATTCTCATCTAGCGATGGTGAAGCTATAAAAGAGATTTCCCCTGATAAAAGCCTAGATTTCATATCGTCTTAAAATCGGGACTTCTTAATAATCATTCTGTATGATTTAAATACAGTCAAACATTGATTTAGCATCTCTGAAACTGGCACTACATCGAAGTACATTGAATATTAAGAATTGTATTCGGGGTCTACGCGTTTGAACGTCAAATCATTTGGTGATAATGTTGTTTACAATGCAAAATCTTATCTAAGAATCCACAGATACTAAAGGGATACTATTTAATATATTGTACGTACTGTACATGGGTTAGTAATTACGCCAATGTATACTCGTAATGATTTACGAGATTGGCACTATTTAGAAAAGCGCTGTATTGAGGTTTGACTGTATTGAGACAAGTTAAACTATAATATACAACGTGCCTTTTCCTCTCTAATAAAAAATAAGCAGATTTGTAGGGTGATGCCGTAAACTATAACTTGTTTAACTTATGTACAAATTCGGCCCTACGAATATTAATATAGATTTCCCCATCCCTTCTATCTTGGAAAGCCAAAGAGTCTTATGACTAGGATCTGCTTCTGTATTATCTTTTGACTGAAGTTCTGTTTATCACATCTATTTTCCTCATTTATGCACTTGATATTACGAAAATCGATTTTCCAAAATTTCATTATACAAGTTATGGACATCTCCTGTATAACGCCCTGAGGAAACCTCTTTAAATTGGACAGATTTTATAGAATCAATAGTGATTAACTAAGGTTTTACTATTTTCTCCTGTTTGTATTTTTCTACAGATAAAAACATATAAAATCAAGTATTAAACAACAATAAAAAACAATATCCAACTAATCTGATTACGTGATAGAAAGACATATGACGTATTATTGTAAAGAATAGTTTAAAAGAAAATATATATAATGCTGTGTAAGCTTTAAGAAATAACTCAACCATGGATAAGTGGAAGCGCTTCGAATAATCTTTTGATATTACAACAAGTTTTTTAAAAAAAACATTTCTATTTTTGAACGTATAACAAGAATTTTAGTAGGAAAGAAAACAAAAATAATAATAATAATTTAGCTACTATAAAATTTTTTATATGAATTGTATTGATCCAGAATGACCGTTTGGCTTCAGTTCTATAAGGATTGACAACATAAAATTTAGGTTTTATGTAACTTAAAACAAGTTTAATTTAACGTAAATTTAGATTAATCTTAATTTAATATCTATCTATGATTTATAAAATGTAATAGCGTTAAATGAAGGTTAAAAATATAATATTTTTAACATTCTGAGGCTTTAAAAAGATAGACTCAGTGTCTCTCTCGACCTCTGAAGGGCTCCTTATATCGATTACAATAATATAAAATAAACTAAAAAATATTAAATCTCTGTATTATTTATACCAAATTATCATTCTTAACGCTATTTTATATATATATTTTAATATACTAAGGGCCCCCAATTGCAAGCCACCGTGCTTCTATCGATCCTCGAAAGGCCCGAGTATGTTGTTTTGTAAACGGTAACACAACTCGTAGGCGATCTACCGAGGGGGGATGCCTCTCGGGAGGACTGTCTATAAGAAACTGGCCCTTATCTAGGTGTAACAAGTGTGAAGAAAAACCGGGAAACTCCATGTTGACGAGGCGCAAACCCACGACCATTGTTCAGTGGTTTTGTCCATTCGGCCAATGGTGGGCGCAAATATCGCTTATAACAATGTAAAATAAGCAGTAAGCAAGCAGTTACGTTTCCTGAACACTAGGAGTTCGGATGAGCTGGCTGCGCGGATTTTCTCCACGTCTGTAACGCTTGAACAGGGCCTAGTTACCCTTAAAAGACCTCTCGTAAGGCATTATTCCCCTCGTAACGACCATCATAAACACATACAATTACCATTAAATGACAATTACGTCACACTTTACCACGAACAGATATAGTCTAGAAGCTCATGCCCAACTAGCCGATACAAGACACGTAAAATTTACTTTATTTTTACGGTATTTTTACAGGCATTTAGAATGATATTAAATATGCAAATTTAATTCAAAATTATTTCATTACAGATTAAGATTTAAATTTCCAATTAGTAACTTAGAACACTTAATAGATTTTTAGTGTTTTTCATTGTCTTTTGCATTAACGAAAAAAATACTGAATGAAATAAGCATTAATCATTGTACTTAATATTGATCATATTTATTTAATTGTAGTAAGATATTTCTTAATGATGTTTAATAGAATTTTGTCACTCTTGAATACATCATTAATCTTCCAAAGCAACTTTTATTGCAAAATCCTAATTCTACTTTTAAATTGCACTTTCTTAATAGTGTCAAAACATCATTGAAGAGTACTTTTATTACATAATTTTTAAAATTAAGAAATGTGAAGAGAAGAAATCATTTAATTACTGTAAAATTTCCAACAAAATACAATAAACTTTTTCCTAAACTACCCATTTAAACAAAATACAATAAACTTTTAATGGATTCCTTTGCAAAAAAGAAATTTTCCATATAGTTCTGCACATAATCATGAACTATATTAAATATAATCTTNTTTTACAGGCATTTAGAATGATATTAAATATGCAAATTTAATTCAAAATTATTTATAATTACTTTTATAATATTCGAGAAGAAAATCTTACTTAAAACGAATATATATATATATTTGACCTTTTCCTTTGCTATCGGAGATTAATTTCTGTACTTGACTCTATAAAATTCTGTAAATGTCCTTCGATTGAAGCGATAGATTTTTATTTTCGCTTTCACCATCAAATGATTAATCAGTCTTTCGTATTTTTTATGTTCTAAATTAGATTTCAAGCTTCTAAAAAAATAGAAAAAAATAGTAATAATCTCATTTTAAATTATTGCATAAACGGAAAAAGAATATCGAAAACAATCTAATCCGATAAGCATATTTATTTGACCTATTTCTTTCGTCAATAATATTTTATCGAAGTTTTTAAGTTGAATGTTGAAATTTAAAATAAATATTTAGATAAATCATTATTTAAAATAAATAAATAAATATATATTTTTTTCAATTTAAATAATGTATTTCGTTCTGCAATCGTAACCAGTGGCTAGGGCCTGATTTAATCTTGGTTAAATCCTCTTCATTAAATAATAATAAATTTAGAAGAGTGAGGCCTTGTGTGTAAATTCGGCTCTCCTGTGGAAGTTTTAAGTATAGACAAACTAAGGCTTTTCATTTTTGGGGCCTCATATAAGCACGATATAATTGATTACGGTCTTAATAAATTTTCCGAATTAAACACTAGTTAAAATCAATGGCTTTAGTAAAAACAAAATGCATTTTCCTCTGATTCCAAGGGCCCTAAATGAGTTTTGTTTTTATAATGTTTTATTATAATAATTGAGAAATAATAAGTTATTTAATATTAAGTGTAAACATGCTTGATTATTGCCCAACTATTTGTTAAAAAATATATTTAAAGTATGGATATCTGATGGAATAGTTCCTTAAAATTTAATTTACTAGGACCTCCAATACGCCTTTGACCAGGATTCCAGATGACATCGAGTATTATATGATGGAACTTTATTATATAAACTTATAGGCCCCTCGAGTTCAAGTTTGTCTAGGGTCTGTCATAACCTAAAACTGCCACTGATTGAGACATAGAATTATAAATAATAACAGATTTTTTAATCTAATTTAGTAGAATTTTTTAAAATATTTTATTTGGAATTTTTATATATTATCAGTATTATTTATGTTTTTCATTTTTCTTAGTCAAAAGACGATACTTATAAAGGCGCCAGACCGAAGTTAAAACGAGAAGAAATGAAAAAGAAGAGAATGATGCTTAGAAAAGCAAGGAGTTTATCTAGAGGACAACTCGAAATGGTTGCAGAAACGGAAAAATCGAAGGAGGAAGAAGAATCGCCAAGACAACAATTGCTACCTAATGGAAACGAATTAGAAAAACACGAAGAACACGAAGAAAAAGATGGATGCCCGGAATTTTTTGGAGTCAAATCGTATTTGCATAGCTTCTACGAATCGGTAGCCGTTAAAGATCCAAATATATACGAAGAATATGCAGATTATCGTTATCTGATAGCACCAAGGAAAAGAAAACGCGGTGCACTCTTCTGGAAAGGTTCCCTATGGTTAGGCATTAACCTCTTGGTGTTCGGTGTTGTACTGCTCATGGTTGGATATTTGGTTCCTCGTAAAGAACCAGTTATTGGACACCAACAAGAAATGGCCATAATAGATCACGCGGCACTCGATTTTAATCGTAACATGGACTTGTGTAAAGTTGTCGGTTTGGTGGTATTTTGCGTTGGTGGAATTATATTAGTAGCGGCACTCCTCTTGCCAAGTTTGATGAACCAATATTACGAAGAAGATATAACAAATGATAGTTTTAGAGTAGCTGTCGAATGCCACGAATCTCCTAAAAGTCCAACAGATAAGAAAATCCCGGCCACTGAAGAAGTAGCTAATATCCAACCTAAAAGAGGTTTAGAAAATGAAGTAGTCATGACAAATGCCGGTTTGTGCAAATTACCATGAAGAATTTTCTGTACACACAATCCAATTAAGGATTATGTTATCAAATTTCTCGTTTGAAATTTTTTTTTCGAATGGGATTAAATGTTAAGAGATTTTACATGTGAATGCATTGATAATGATATTAAACAAATAGAAACATACAAACACAATGTTTAAATATTGATTTAGAATACCTCTATACATAATACAGTTCCTTGTAACCGGATCGAATTTGATCTGTAATGTGTCTTACTCAGTAAACTAAAATATATGTGATGTTATTAACCATTGTTGATGTTTCTCCTAGTTAAATATTTATAAATTGTACACATAATTAGCATAATTTCTTTAAAAAGGGCAAAAAAAAACACAAAATGTTATATGTACTGTATGTAATTTTAACGGGAATTTAGATCAAGTAATGTGTTTGTTGTGTACTTAATTTACATGCAAAGTCTATAGTTTGACTTAAATTTATTGAGCTTTAAGACTTTATGCCNATGGCAGAAAATAAATTTTATAAATACATTTTATAAAATTAAATAAAAAAAATAAAGTTTATTTCTTCTACTCATTAATATATGGGTAAAAATTAATTAACAGAATAAACTGACTTTCTTATAGCGTGGTTATCTGATTTATGGGCCAACTCCTGCATTAATGGAAAGACGAAGTAAACAAAAAAAATTTTTCTTTTATTCACTGACTGCATAGTGTGTGACTTACAAGTCAGTTAACCGAATTAACTGATATTTATGTAATGCGGTTAACTGACATTTCGGGCCATTCTATGCATTAATGAGTGAAAGAAAAATTTTATTTGTATATTTGTTCTTTCCATTAATGTACGAGTTGGCCCAAAAATCAGTTAACCGAGCTATAAGAAAGTCATCTAATTCGGTTAAATGAATTTTAAACGCTCCCATATATACTTTGTCTAAAGTAAAATAATATAAATTAAACATTACTTGTAAGCTATAAATATTTAGGTTTAGATATTTAATTTTTAAACTTATAAAAACTTCCTTTCTTTTTTTAAACTCAAAAATTGTGTTTTACATCCATTTTCTGTATTGTAGAAATGAATTGTTACTCCAAATTCCTAAATTCTGTTTCCATATTTTGATGTTTGCTATTAATATAGCATATATAATAGAAAAGAATATATAAAAAATAAAGCAGTATATACACTTAGAATAGATCCTTCATGTTGACTAGATGTACTTAGAAATGGCAATGATACTTAAATTAATGCAATCATTTTGTATTATTAGAAAACAGAGTATTACCCAAATGTCAGTTAACCAGTGATGATAAATCTGTATGCCAAACACTATGTCAAGACTGAATTTGAGAAGTCCTTCATGCTCCATCAAATAATGATAACTTTAAAAAGTATAAAAACATGACTCTTCAAAGAGTGAGGTCCAAAACTGTAAATTCTTTAACTTATCTATAAATCCAGCACTTGTAATTTGGGAATTGAACAAGAATTATTAGTAAAGTGTTTGAATAAGAAAAATTTATAATAGTTCTTATAATGGTTATTTGACTTTTGGGCCATCCTTTATATTGTGAATCTATTGTGAATATTCACTTATTAAATAGATTAACGATTTGTGCAATATCTATATATTAAATTTTAACAAAAATTGCACCATTAAATAGATCAAAATCTTCAATTTTTAAATGTAGAAAATTCAATAGAGAAAGTCCAGAGTTATTTTATTCCAATTAAAGTATGGAATGTATTAAAAGTTTAAAATGTATGTCATATTACAGATAAAAATTATTTGACTGAGGAGACAAGATTAAATTTAAACACAAGTTTTTTTCATATATTTACCTGTAAATAATGCTACTTTTTAGAAGTAAATTCACTATTTGAAGGCAAATATAAGGAAAACAGTCCTACTTTATACTTAATTTACCTCTAAACAGCATTATTTCAAGATAAATTCTTTTAAGTTTATGTATTTAACTAATAATACTTGATTCAACTGTCTCACAAAACATTCTTCCTTAAAAGTTAATAAAATACTTTACATTAAATTTATTAAATAGAAGTGAATATAAGCAAGGATATGCCTTATCTCTGTTTATATATACTATACTGTATTTCGAGATAGTTTTGTAGAGTAGGACCTTGATATAAGTCATGTAATAAGGCTTCTCTTTTAATTTATCATAAATTAAACAAATTTTCAATCTTTTAAAGCATAATATATAATTTATATCTTCATATTTTTTAAAGTAAAGTTTGTATTTGTAGAGATTATAAGTTTAATATTGTCTGCTCTATCATCTTTCAAGTTTATTGTACATTACAGTATACTTTGTTAATTATTATCAAAGTTATATAACTAAGGGCATTATGAATATAGAAAAAATATATATATTTATATTAAATCTTATTTACAAATAAGTAAATAAATGAATTTTTGAATGAATTCCTAAATGTAAAACTGTATTTTCTGCTGATTTTAATTTTTAAAAACCTTAAAAAGTATAAAAAATACAATTGTATTTTTATTTCAATGTAATTTTTATATTTGTTTTTAAATATAGGAATTAATGAAATTAAATTATAAGAAATAATTGAGGCATAAAGTATCATTTAAACAATAAAAATAATTTTAAAACAATAGAAAAATTTAATTAAATGAATCTATTAGAAAAATTTGAAAATTTAATATAATTTATTTGATATTTTTCTATATATATATATATAT